GCTGCCCTCCGCAAGCTCGCCCGGCACCTCTTCCTCCGGCACCGGGACCCCCGTCCTCCGGGAGCCACATCTGCCTTTCGGGATCCGGCCGCCACCTCCTCTCGGAGATGGAGCTCTCCTGCGGGATCCGGGCACCCCCTCCCAGCCCTGGAGGAGCCCCGCGAACCTCGGTCCCGACCCGGACCTCTCTCCAGGGGCTGCTGCCCTCAGCCAGAACCCTCCAAGCCCTGATCCAGACCTCCACAGAGGCTGCCAGAGCTCCTTCAGATCTGACCTCACCGTCCGTTCCCTGGAACTCTGACCCAGAACCACGGGGACCCAACACACCTTTCCCCTGCCCTCGAGCCCCAGCCACACACGGCCAGGCTCTGCCTGTCCCCAGCAGCCCCTGCCCCGGTGCGGGGTCCCTGACAGTTTCCCTGGCCCCTGGCCTGCTGAGGACCCTTACCAGAAGTGGTAAGCTAGGCTGGGTGATGGCTCAGTCAGCTCCGTCTCCAATGCTGCAAAGCCCCTGTGACATCCAGGAACGCCTCCTGGCTCAGGGTGTTTGAGGTGGGGTGGGGTGGTTGGTGTTCAGGACAGACTCCTGTCCCACTGGTGCGGGAACAACTCTTGGCCCACATGGATGGAAAACCCAAAGCCCCCAGGTCCTTTTTTCACTCTCCGGCTACTTTGGGTGCTGTCTGGGACAAGGTGGGATGCAGGTCAGAGCAGGCCAGGCAAGGAGGGATTGGGTGGCTACAGTGCCCCTTGGCTGAGCTTGCTCCTTGCCCCCACACCCCTGACCTCGTTTCCCTTGTGGAAACAGCTTGTCTCCGGGTGGCGTTTTGACGTGGACATGAATATTTTCCAGCCCCACCATCCCTTTGCTCCACAGAAGTGATGAGCTTCAGGGTACTCCAGTGCCCAGGCCAGGTTAGTGGCAGAGTCCCCCAGGGCAGGCAGTGTCCAAACCAGGGAGCTGCAGCCAAACCTTGAGAAGAGCCAGGACCCAGGGGATGTGTGCCCAGGGGCTGTGTGCCAGCACGGTCCTGCCAACAGTGCCACTGGAGGTGGCTGCACTTGGGGCATTTCTGTACCTCCTGCAGTCCCCAAGGTCTGAGCACTGCTGAGGCTGCAGATCCACCACTGCTTGGCCAGTTAGCTGAGCCTCTTCAAGGAGCTAGCTGTTGAGCACCAAGGGAACCTTCCTCCCACATGCTCCAGGGGAGAACCCTCATTGTCCTCTCCAGCAGGGGAGAACCCTCATCATCCTCTTCAGCAGAAGAGGACCTGGTTCACAGCTATGGGGCAGACAGAGGTTTGACTTAACTCCTTGTTACCCTGGCCTCTCACAGACTCCTCCCAAAGCTTCACCTTTCTAATGCAGCTCCTGGAGGAGGAACTTCTCTCAGGATTTTGCTCTTGGCCAGGACCAATCTTGAGTACTCTCTGTCTATCTCCAATTAAGGGAAAACCTGCCTGGCTGGATCATTTTGGGGCGGCTGTTGTGGCCATTTCTAGCTGGCAACGATGCATCTAAACCTCCCAGGACAAATCCCGCTCCCCAGAGAGGAGGTAGCAACATGGACATAGGAACAAGGACCTCAGGGTGTCCTGGTGTCCTTGCACTCACCATCATCCTCTGCTTGTGATAAGGGGGTTGTAGCTCCAAGGAGGAGTGGCACCCACCTGGGCATGGACCCAGCATAGCCAGGAGGCAGCGTGCAGCAGCACCAGCAGCATGCTCAAAGCTCTGTTTTTGTCCAGACATCTCCTGCTTACTCCTTTCCATCACAGCCACATGTCTGGCAATATGATGAGCAAATGCTCCTTGAAATGATCATTATAGACTGATGGAAGGAGAGAAACCAGCAGGCTAAGATGTGTTCACAAAAATATTCCTTCCAAGGTCAGTTTAAATAAGTGTCCAACATCGCTGGGAGCGTTGCACGGGAGAACTCATGTCAGCACCATGCACGGCTGGTACAGAGGTGGACTTTGCTGCTTCTCTCTTGACATGTTGTCTTGGCTCAGGGCAAGATGTCACAAGCCCAGCTGTGCTCCTGGGTACCTCCTCACTCACACCAGGCCAGCCCGCAGCTCAGGGGGGTGTTGTGCCCCTCAGGCTCCCCAAGCCATGAGCCTGTGCCAGGTAGGGTATGGACATTTGCTCGAAAACTCAAGACAAGGCTGGTGACTGAACCCAGGAGGGACCCCCCTCACTTTTGCCCTCCAGCACTAGCACAGAGCCTAGCTGCCTTGCACAAGGCCATCACCCACTGCAGCCCTGGAGGCAGGGGGCACCCAGCCCCAAATGCCATGCCAGAGCACACGGCAGGCAGGGGCTTTGCTGGCAGAGGGACAGGCAAAACACAGGCACATGGCGGGTTGGGGCACGTGAGGAGGCAAGCTGCTGCGGCCACAGCAGGAGGAAAGGATCCTGGGGGCCAGCAAGCTGACAGCACTGGAGCAGAGGTAGCATGGGCACAGCCACTTTCCCTGGCAGCTGGCAACCTCCGTGCCTGCATACCCCTGGGTCCTGCAGGCAGCTAACCTGCCTCCTCTGCCCCACAGGCTGGTCTCAGGGCAGGAGGAGATTAAAGCTGCTTCTCGAAGCTCACCCCAGCCCATGTCACCCTCTGATTTCCTGGACAAGCTTATGGGACGAATGTCAGGGTATGACTCCCGGATTCGACCCAACTTCAAAGGTAAGGGGAGGATGTGAAGCTCCCAAACCTGACAGGGACCCATGCTTATGGCTGCCCAATGCCAGAGAATGGGCAGGTATGGGTTTGCGGCCAGGACCCTGACACATGTCCCTCTGTCCCAACACCCTTCCCAGAACCCCAGCTGCTCCTGGGATCACAGCCACCCTGCGTGTGCCTGCCTTGCCTGGCAGTGCAAGCAGCTGTGGTGCTTGCAGGGGTTCACCTCAACACACCACAGGGTGACTCCGGCAGGAAGGGAGGTGTTCGTATGCATTCAGCTGTGCAGTGGGTGCAGGGAGTGGTGTCACCACGTGTGCCTGTGCAGTGCACGTGTCCCCCTGACCAGTGGTGAGAGAAGGCTTCATGCTGTTTTCCAGGTCCACCTGTCAATGTGACATGCAACATCTTCATCAATAGCTTCGGCTCAGTCACCGAGACCACCATGGTGAGAACTTTGGCGGTGCGACGGGCTCCTCTCCCAGTGCCTTGCTGCTGGCAGCGCCTACTGGGGAGCATGCAGGTCCCTGTGCCCAAGCCCATGGCTGTCATCTACAGGGGTCTTGTAACCCTTTCTCCAAAGCCAGCCCTGGCATCACAGCGGCGACATAGCAGACCCACAGCAAATGGCTGTGGCTTTTCTGGGGTCAGTTAACTAGAGCTTGGTGGTGTGGGCCACATTCCCCAAACCTGAGCTGGGAGAAACACTGTGAAGGGTTCAAGCAAGGCAGCTGGTGGTAGCCCCCTGTTGTTTGCAGGCTTGGCAGGTGCCATACAAGCAGGCTCTGTGTCCCTGCCATCCCCCATTTCCTCACATGAGGAACTCCTCTGAGGAAGCCCCAGCGCTAAAAATTCCCTATTTGTGTTGCCACAAAGCCTTAATACCATCAACCATCACATTAACCCCTCAAAGGGCCACAGAGCCCTTCAAGAAACACTGCAGGCAGTAGCTACTGGTCCTCCTCCTGCTTTTCCTCTCAGCTGGCGTGGCTTTGTCTTCTTAATTTTGCCTGGCTGCTGACAGCATGGGAAGACTCCTGAGCTGCTCCTGCCCCACGCATGGTTAGTGTCAGATAGGCTGCATCTCCAGGGCTGAGCCTCGACACAGAGACCCTCTTCCACCTCCTCCTCTACCTCTTCTTCCTCCATCTCTTCCTCCTCCTTCTCCCTGGGCACCAGAGGGTGCACCCAGCTGACACGATGCCCTCTGCCTCAGGACTACCGGGTGAACATCTTCGTACGGCAGCAGTGGAATGACCCCCGCCTGGCTTACCACGAGTACCCTGATGACTCCCTTGACCTGGACCCCTCTATGCTCGACTCTATCTGGAAGCCAGACTTGTTCTTCGCCAATGAGAAAGGGGCCAATTTCCACGAGGTCACCACTGACAACAAGCTGCTGCGCATCTTCAAGAATGGCAATGTGCTCTACAGCATTAGGTAGAACCCTTTTCCTCTGGTGCAGTGCCCAAGTGGGGAGCTGAAGCTTTCCTCTTGCCTCCTGTGGGGCAGCTTTCCCTTGTGACTGCCCCACCCCCAGCAACCTTCTCCTTTCTTCTGCCTCCTCCAGGCTGACACTCATCCTGTCCTGCCCTATGGACCTCAAGAACTTCCCCATGGATATCCAGACATGCACCATGCAGTTGGAGAGCTGTGAGTACCTAGGGGGGATTCAAGCTGTGCATCGTTCCCCCACCCTCCTACCCCCTCAATTCTGTACTATCCTATCCCATCCCAGCCCAAAGGCTGGCATCTCCCTGCTTCTGAGGGTGGTGAGCAGGAAGGAGCAGTTCTTCAGGGTGTGGATGAATGGGGTGTGTGTCCCCTCTGTCCCATGGCTCACTTCATCCCCTCCAGTTGGTTACACCATGAATGACCTCATCTTTGAGTGGCTGGAGGAGCAGGAGGCTGTGCAGGTTGCAGAGGGCTTGACACTCCCACAGTTCATCCTCAGGGACGAGAAGGACCTGGGCTATTGCACCAAGTACTACAACACAGGTGAGCACCCCAGGGACACACTCACCACCCCACCACCACCCCACCCCTGCCTTGCCCTAGCCTGAGAGTCTCTCTTGCCCATCGGGGCTATCTTTCCCTGCAGGCAAGTTCACCTGCATCGAGGTCAAGTTCCACCTGGAGAGGCAGATGGGTTACTACTTGATCCAGATGTACATACCCAGCCTGCTCATTGTCATCCTCTCCTGGGTCTCCTTCTGGATCAATATGGATGCAGCACCAGCCCGGGTGGGCTTAGGCATCACGACCGTGCTCACCATGACCACGCAGAGTGCTGGCTCCCGTGCCTCCCTGCCCAAGGTTGGTGCTGCCTCCATGCCGGGCTCCCACGCTGCAGCCTACCCAGGGCACGTGGGTTGTCCACTGCCATCCACACCACCCCAGGGGCAGGGCAGCCTTCTCTTAGGAATGCTTGGCTCCTTGCTGGCTGGGGCACTGCATGTGCCAAGGGGGAATGTGGCACTGCTCGGCTGGGCAAGCTCTGGCCCATGTCCCAGCTGAGAGGACTCCCGTGCCCCTTGGCAGTGGGGGGCATGAGAGAGATGGGGGACAGCGGGTCCCTGAGGCCCCTCTCTCCCTTACAGGTCTCCTACGTGAAGGCCATTGACATATGGATGGCTGTGTGCCTGCTCTTCGTCTTTGCCGCCTTGCTGGAGTATGCAGCTGTCAACTTTGTCTCCCGACAGCACAAGGAGTTCATGCACCTGCGCCGACGCCGCCGGCGGCAGAGGATGGTGAGTGCCTCCCACCATCGCTGTCATGATGTCTGCCTGTCCTCAGCCACCAAGGGGACACCCCAGGGCTGCAGGGCCAATTTCTCAGTAGCCACCAGGGCTCAGCACTGGATTGTGTCCCACTGCCTGGGGCTTGCAGCTGGCCCATCAGGGGCCCATGTGACGTCCACAGTCATTCTGTCCACCTCAGCAGCACAGTGCACAGCATCCACGGGTGCCTCGGGCCCTGCCAGCACAAACGTGCCCAGGGTTCAGTGCTCCTCCTCCTGATGGGACACCCTTGGGCTCTGCCTCCTCTAAAAAAGTAGAAAAATAAACAATGAGGCTGGAGGAAACAGCCTTTCCCTTTACCTGCAGGCCCAAACCCGGGCTCCTTGCTGCAGTGTGGCAGTGACAGGGGCCCACCGCTGCATCACAGTGGTGAAGCACCAAGGGGACTTGGTGGCATCCAGATAAAGGGTTTGGGCTGCAGATGGGAGCACAGCAGAGCATGGAGAAGCAAGGTCCCATGCTCACAGAAGAGCCCTCCCTTCCATCAGCCCATCAGCGCAGGCATCAGGCCTGTGAGGTGCTCGGGGAAGGCATGTGGCTGCCCCATGCAGTAGGTACACAGTGAGGCACCAGCCCTCCGTGGAGAACACAAGTACAGGTACACACTACACAGTGCCCTGTGCAGCCAAGTCCCTCCGGCGCACACTGAGGACGGGTCCCAGTGGCCGGGCACTGCAAGGAGGGGTTTTACCCACACAGAGCCCCCCTCCCCCCCACTGCCACCCTGGTGTCCCGCGCGGCTGTTCCCAGGGCCGGAGCAGGGCCATTGGTCACCCACTGTTGTTTGCGGACTGTCGGATGCAAAAAGGGCCGGAGCAGCGGGACGGCCAGCCTGGAGTCCCTGCAGCAGCCGAGCGGCCGGCGCAGCGGCGAGCACACCTACGCGACACTGGTGCGGCTCTCCAGCTCCCGGGTAAAGCACGGCTCCCTGCACCCCCGCGCAGCGCAGCGCAGCGCAGCACGCTCCAGCCGGCCTCGCCCCGCCTCTCCCTGAAACGAGTCCCCCAGCAGCCCGCCCCAGGAACCGGCAACAGCCCGCAGGAGAAGCAGGGCAGTGATGTGCCGAGAATG